CATATCCCTCTTTGTACCAAAAATATGTAATTTTTAAAATTTACATATTCAGGTAGTTGAATTATCAATCTTTCCCTTAATGTTACCATTTTTTGTATCTTGTTTAGGAAATCTATCCTTACTCCCAAAGTCTTAAAATTATTTTTCTTTATTGTCTTCAAAAGTTTTCTAGTTTTATGTTTAAACCAACTCATCTGGAATTGGTTTATTGTTTTTTAATAGTATGAAGTAGAGGTCCAGTGTTCCTTCTTTTCAAGTGGGTAACCAGTTGTCCCATTACCATTTAACCATTTTATTTATTTATTTAAATAAAAAATTGGGGCATGTGCCCTGACCAGGAATCAAACTGTGATTTCCTGGATCCTAAACCAATGCTCAACCACTGAGCCACACGGACCGAGCACCACTTAACCAATTATTTTTTATCTTCACCTGAGGACATGCTCAGAGAGTAGAAGGGGTTGGGGAAGGAGGGAGGGAGACAGAGAGAGAGAAAAAGAGAGAGGGAGAGACAGAGATTGGTTGATTGGTTGACCAGGAATCAAACAGGCAACTTTTAGGTGCACAGGATGATGCTCAACCAACGGAGCCACCCCAGTGGGACTCATTACTATTTATTAAAGAGCTTATCCATACTTATGTTTAAGTATATTTGGTTAAAATTTCACATTAAATAAAAAAATTGCTTTCTGTGATCATTGATGTGCAGTGCTAGCTGACATACACCAAGAATCCCAGGAAGTGTGTTTCTGAGCTACCGTCTCATTCTTAGTTTGCTTTTTCCTTTCTGTGCCTAACAACTTCCTGCAGGACAGCAACAGCAAACGCCTTCTCTGATTTTCAAATCCCTTTGCTTTTAGCCTCTGGGGATTTCCCTTACTTCTTAAGGGTTCAGTTATGCATTTAAAAGGATGTTAGATTTTACCCAGCATTTCTACGTCTGCCGTGAGAGATTTTTTTTCAGACTATCTAGTTAACCATATCCTAGTGATGGAAAGAGAAGTTGTTTACCTGATTCCTAAAACCAAATGTTTGTGGTGATCTCACCTTGAGAATATGAGAAAAAGCCGAAAGTGTTTGCATGTTGGGGAATTTTCTTTCAGTAAAAGAAGTAAAAATGAAATTTTAAATAGCAATAATATTTAAGTATGTTTTGGTTAAAATTTCACATTAAATAAAAAAATTTGCTTTCTGTAATCATTGCAACCTGGCCAAAATAATACCTGTTACAGGAGGAATAAAGCCAGTGAGAATGAAAAGATCTTGCCTCTCATGAAACAGCCTGGGGAGGGGTAGATTTCAGAGGAATATGTCCATTTTGATGTCCACCATTTTGATGGTGGGGAAATCCTATAAGCATCTGCATCATGGGCATAAACTAGATAACGTGTCTAATCAGAGTTAAGAGAATTGAGTTATTTTTTAAAAAAAATATATCTTTATTGATTTCAGAGAGAGGAAGGGAGAGGGAGAAAGATAGAAACATCAATGATGAGAGAGTCATTGATCGGCTGCCTCCTGCACGCCCCCAGCTGGGGATCGAGCCCACAGCCATGGCATGTGCCCTGACTGGAGATCGAACCACATCTCCTGGATCCTAGGCCAGGCTAAGTGACTTAATTTTTGTAAAGACCTCAGAACAAGCTGTGGTACCTTTACACAATGGAATACTACTTGGCTGAGAAAAGAGGGAATGCTTAGCTTTTGTGACAGCATTGATGAACCTGGATATTATGCTAAGTAAAATAAGCCAGTCAGAGAAAGACAAAAGCCGTATGATTTCACTTATTTGTGGAATCTAATGAACAAAATAAACAAAATAGAAACAGATTCATAGATGCAGAAAACAGACTGACAGCTGTCAGAGGGGAGGGAGGTTGGGGAGCTGGGCGAAAAAGGTGAAGGGATTAAGAAAAAAACTCTCATAGACACAGACAACAGTATGGTGATTCCCAGAGAGAAAGGGGGTGGGGGAGGCAGAAGGGGGTAAAAGGGGATAAATGGCGACGGAAAGAGACTTGACTTTGGATGGTGAACACACAATACAATGTACAGATGCTGTATTATGGAATTGTACACCTGAAACCTATATAATTTTATTAACCAATGTCACCCCAATAAATTCAATAAAAAAGTGGACTCAAAACAGTATCTGACACGTAGCCCTATATGAGTATTTGGTAAATAAAATAAGGAGTGGAATTATAACCATATCATTTGAATGATGTGCTCCTATTCCCCCTAGATAAGAAACATGGCATCCACACAGGTGAGCTATGGTGCAGAAGAGAGTCATTAACACTATATCCATTTATAGCTAAATCCATCCAGAGGTATAGAATATCCTGTCTTCAGATGAAAGGTGGAAAACAAAATAGGGAAGTATCACCCACTTCTATTTATTAATACATGAAATAGGTCTCATTTCCTTTTTATAAGATCTGGCGTGTGTGTTACATTTATTACAGAAGATTTAAATAAGTTACTCCAGAAATCATTAGTAACATGCTCCATATTAAATTTACAGAATGTAAGGGAGATATACTTTTCATTATTCATATAACTTGTAAGAATGGGCTCAACTATTTGGTAGTATAACCTCTTTTTTTTTAATCCTCACCTGAGGATATGTTTTCATTGATTTTTAGAGAGAAAGGAAGGGAGAGAGAGAGAAACATCGTCTGGTTGCCTCCCATACACGCCCAACCAGGGATCAAACCCTCACCCTAGATATGCGCCCTGACTGGAACAGAACCCACCACCTTTGGGTGGCGGGGTGATGCTCCAGCCAACTGAGCACCTGGCCAGGGCAGTATGATGTCTTTTAAGACAAATCTGTCTTGTTCATTTTTGGTACCTGGAAAAAAGAATGTTCAATCAGGGATGAATAGTAGGGGAGTGACACTTCAATTTACCCTTCAGAGGGTTTCCCAAGGTCATATTATGTTGCATAACAACAAATTCTCTTTTCCTAGAAGTCTCCCATTTTTATTAACCAGGGTCTGAGTCCAGTTTCAGGGGCTCTGCAGGTAGTATATATTCATGGAACATGTGGTGTCTTTTCACCACTATAATGTTCAACAAGGGCCAAAGAGATTAGGAAGTTGACTTCTATACCAAATGATGCTCCCTTATTTAAGATGGGGTTTTGTCCCGATAAAACCATTATAAATTGAAAACTTGTTGAGTCGAAATGCTTTTAATACACTTAATCTACCTAACACCATAGGTTAGCCTAGCCTACCTTAAACATAAGTTAGGGACTATCTGTAGATGATTCATCTCCCCCTTCTTCTCAATATCTGCTATTTGCAAAAATCTGCAGATTAACTCAGCTCAACGAGCATATATTAAAGTCTCAACAATAGGCAAGCTGTGGAAACAATGATGAAAAAGATATGGGTCACAGCCCTGCTTCTTGAGGAGCAAGTTTCATAGGGAAGAGACACACAGCTTCACAGCACTAATCCTGATTGTAATTATAATTATTTGGGTTTAATATCTGCCTTCTCACACAACATTGTAATGAGGACAAAAACTGAATGTACTTTAGTACTGTATCTCTAGCAATGAACAGTGTCTGTCACCTAAAGCACTCAATATAGCATGATGAGTGCCAACAAAGAGGCACACGGGAGATGCTAGCCACTGTCCCGAGTATCAAGGTTTCCCAGCGGGTCCACTGCGGCACAGTAGGGTAATGCGAACATCCTGCCCCTCCGTGTGTTGTATGCACATGCGTGTTGAGACATATCTTCAGTGGGAGATGATCTGATTATCAGTAGTTGTGGAGTTTTTTCTCCCAAAGTGCTAAAATTTTGTTTAGTAACCTTCCGCTTGGGAAGCGCCTTTGCTTCTGGATAGCTAAGCAGGGCCAGGAGGTGACAGGGAACAAGTTTTTGGCTTTCATTCTAAGTTTTAAAGAGGAGGGGTATAAAAAGAGCCATGGTTCCAATGAAACTAGAAAGGCAGTCAGGGCATAAGTCAGAGTGGAATACAAATTGCACATTCCACCCTAGCAAATGCCTACAGTCTATGTCAGAGGAAGTGAAGTGCAGCATCAGGAGGCCACAGGAATTTGGCCCACGCTGAAAACCAGTGAGGTGGCCTTGTAAGGTCTTTGCATCTCATAAAATTCAGACTCTGCTCTATCCTTTGCCCTTACTTCACAGCACTACAGCCACCAACGGCTTAGATCGTATGGCTGCTTCTTTTCCAAGCTGACTCTTTTCTTACCATCTCCTCTGAGCTTTTCATTCCTTTGCAAAAATTCAACCTCTCTCCTCCCTATTTTCAAAAAGAACATTTTAAAAAAGAAACAAAGCTCTGAAATAATAAGGTAGATGGCCTTTTGTTTTTATATCTATTAATATCCTTTGCTTTTAAAAACATAACTTCAGCCTGGCTAGGTGTGGCTCAGCGGTTGAACGTCAACCTAAGATCCAGGCGATCGGGGTTCGATTCCCAGTCAGGGCACATGCCCGGGTTGCGGGCTCGATCCCTAGTTGGGGCGTGCAGGAGGCAGCCAATCAATGACTCTCATCATTGATGTTTCTCTCTCTCCCTCTCCTTTCCTCTCTCTGAAATCAATAAAGATATATTTTTTTAAAAAACCAAAAAACCCCCCATAACTTCAGTACAGACATTAAGCAATTTTTTTCATGGGCCATTTGGGTTAAACTCCCTCCATGGGGAGGGATCATTTTTATATTTATTTTGTTCCTCTCAGTAGCCTAGTACAATGCCAAGCACATAGTAATAAGACTCATATATTTGATGGAATATGTCACAAATCTATCACACTGGATACACTTGATAAAATAAAAATTGAAACTAAGAATTCCATGTATTCATTTCTCTCCTTATAGTACCCTGTTCAGATGATATACTGCAATTTATATAATGAAAAAGGTAAAACAAATTGATAAAATATTTAAAAAAGACTGAGAAAATTTTGACAATTCACCAACATAAGGGTATTTTTATCATTCATTTAGAAATGCAACTCAATATTATATTCAGTTTATTTTTGAATAGCTATCTCTCTGACAGTCAATACTCAAACGTACCAAATTATTCATTTTTTAAATTAAAATTTTTTCTTAATTTGCATATTTGAAGAAATATAACACACTAGACAAGTTATAGAGTATAGTCTCAGACTTATGTGGCATTATGACTACTTTCAACAGTAACTAAAATCTTTTCAAAGAAAATCTTCATATTAATGTATGTCTGTCCATGTAATAGACTACAGAGAGCACACATCTGGCATTCTCAAAACAGCACATAACCACTAATGTAATGCCATAAGTCAACTTATTGCCTTTAAAACTTCACTAAATAATTGCACGGAGTACAACGGAGGGTTAAAAGCGCCCGTGTTCGCCCTAGAGTTAGACAGCCTTCTTTGACTTTTTCTTCTCCGCTTCTTCCTTTTCCTTTTCTATTGCAATGACTTGTAATTCAATTTCTTTGGCACTAAACATCTGAAAAGAAAAAAGATTTTAAAACCAAACTGCAATTATACCAATAATTTCTAAATATTTACAATATGAAAGAAATGTATTATATCTTATAAATTTCTATTTTCTATTTACAACTTTATACCTTCAAATATATAATGAAATGTTTCAAAAGGTTCAACAGCAACATATTTATAACTATGAACAAAAACCAGAACTCTATGACATTTCCAGTACTGTTGTGCTAAAAAAGAAAGCAGGGTAAAATGTGATATTGCATTACATAGCCTATATAAAACTATAACTCTAAAACAATTTTAATGTAAGACTTATTCTATTCATGAGCAAATAACTCATTATTGAACTCCCCTTAGCCCCATCTGACTTTGTGATTCTCTGTTAGGGTTTGACTATTTTATCAGCTCATAGATTAATCATAAAAGATCAGGAAAAGATGATTTACACTGCTTTATTTACAACTCCCTCACTAAATGCAAAGCAAAGCAAAAATAATTTTTCTTTTATTTAAATCATTTTTATTTAAAATCAAAGATGGGAGCAAACTGCTCAAGGCCATACTGTTAAACAAACTGATCTGCTAGAACTTAAATCCAGATCTACCCAACTCCAAAGCATGTGCTCTATTTGCTACACAGCCTATCCTGAACACCATGTGGAAGGGTAGTATAACTTTGCTGCCAGGACACATACTATCCTACTACTACTCATAATTAAAAAACATATATATAACTCTTTGTGTAGCTATCCAGGTGTGTATACAATATATGTGATGGGGCTGGAGAAGTGAGTCTGGTCTCAGTGGTTCTGTGTCCCTGTGCTATTGGCACATGTGTGCCTGGGCCCTTGGAAGTAGGGGTGACAACAGGCCTAGTTCCAGACTCTGCATTCTGTGTTCAGCATCTTGATTATTTATGTGGGGCCATGTAGGGGAAGACCCCACCACCCTACCTCTATTTCTCTAATTCACTGAAACTTTGCTGCTGCCCCATCCATTGGTTAAATAATAAAATATGGGAATGTGGTGTCATAACAACAATTACAACAAGAAGCCACCTCCACCAATACAAAAACAAAAACAAAAACCCCACTGCTCCACACATCACAGGTTTCAATACTACCTCCCTTTGAAATATTTTCCTTAAAACAAAAGGTAAATGTAAAATAATTTTTTAGCACACTTTTCATATAGTTTTCCATGCTTTGAATGCTTTTGTAGACTCTCAGCTAAAGGGAGCTAATTGGCAAACTATACTGTAAAGTTCTACCTGATGAACAATAGTGAACCATGTTTCAAATGCTCTTTAGCCAATGAATCTTCTATCATAAAATTCAGAACAATTTATCACATTGTTCTGAACAATTTATTTTGTGGTCCAGCAGTTTTAACCCACAATGGCTGACAAAAGATATACAAATAATAGTGTTAGACTTGCCACAAAGAAATATGGAAAGATGATCATACTAGGTGTTAAAATTTAAGTCTTAACAAAGTGGCTCAAGGCACTTTTAAGTGAAAAGTGTAGAAAATAGATAAAAACCAGTAGGCAATCAAGAATGGGTGGAGGTTTTTTGACATAATAAAGGATAACATTGTTAGAAGCCTGGATGGCCAACAATTATATAAATGACAGTTGAATGACACTAGCTGGAAGCATATCTTGATTTCGGAAGATCTAAAAATATAGAAAGGGTGACTGCTCTCTATATGGTGCCAGGGATGAATCCCTATAGGGGACATGCTATACTGACCTCATAAAGGACTGACTCAGTAGGGGTTCCTACTTATACGAACGCATACTAAATGGGGTAGTTCTATTTATGGATCTCAATACCTCTAGTCTTCACAAAGGGTTAGGGATGGGTAACTGCTTGCAATAAGCACATACAAATTAGTGAGTATTAGCCTAGAGAAACAAAACAGAAGTTGCCATAATGTCCATGGAGGCGAAGGGAAGTTCAAGGCTTATAATGATGACTCACAGGTGTCAACATTTTAACTTTTGTCAAAATATATTACAGATATTTCTTGCCATTTGGTTAATGACTTACTTTCAAAGGTTGGTTTCTTTTTATTATAGCAAGGTCAATGTTTTTTCCACCAGACTGGACAACCTAATGTAGAAAAAATGCAACATTAGAATTACTTCAGGAAACTCTGTGGTTTAATAAGCAAGCAAAGGAGAAAAAACCCCTGTGCTTTTCTGAATATCCTTTATTAGATCACTTACTTCTAGCAAAGCTCTTATTGCTAATTTGATAGCTTCATTGTCGTTAGCTATAGCATCTTCTGTGTAATTCTTTTCTAGAAATTCTCGGACAGTTTTAGCACTTCGGCCTATTGCATTTGCCTTGAAAAATAGAAGATAACTCTTAATGTCACTGCAATATGAAGGAATTTATGACTACTAAGTGAAGTTTAAAGATTTACAGTTTACTCCAGTATTTCTTAGCGTAATTCCTCAATGAAAATTGTAGGTGTGAAAACTTAGCAAACATTTCAGCAGCTCATTCGGTCACTATATGAATAATCTGTAGTGATGGCATGAGTAATTTTCAAATATACCAATGTTTTATACTGGCCAATGCTTTTTGTTGCTTTAATAGCTCCCAAGTTCTTGATAGCTGGGAGAGATTCAAAGAGCTTAAACTCCATTAAGACGCGGAGAGGAAAGGAGGTGTGACTTTGCAGTATGGTACAAAAGGAAGAAAGATGAGAAAAAAAGAACATCAACATGAAGAAGAAAGCTGTTTAAATGAACAGGACTGTGCATCACATCCTTAGAACTTGGAATAAAGTATACAGATTATTAAATTCATTATCTTTGACTTTATAAGAAAGAAGACCTTCTTCTGTTCCATTCTCCACTTTTCTATACTCTTCAGAATTTTTCATCAAATGAAGGAAAAGGCAAACAAACTTCCCTGGCTTCATGGCTACAGGTAGTATATGGCATGTTCTTTTAATTCGGTTTAAATTCCAAACTAGTACTAGTGACGATAATGATGATGATAATAGTAATTTACATTAACAGGGCACTTCTGTGCCAGGTACCACGTTATGCATTTTACAAGAATTATCTAATCTAATCTAACCATCCCCCAAACAATTAAATAGGTAATATTACTAACCCCAATTCATGGGTGAAGAAATGAAGGGCTCGAAAGGTTAAAATGAGCTTTCTTAACCTCAACACTATTGACATTTTGGGCCAGATAATTCTTTGCTGGGGGAAGGGGCAAGGGCCTGTCTTGTGCACTGTTGGATGTTTAGCAGCCTCTATCCATTGTATACCAGTAGCACTACCTACTCCACTTATGACAACCAAACATGTCTCATATATTGCCACATGTCCCTGAGGGGGACAAAATCACCTTATTTGTGAACCATTGGCTTAAGTAATCATGCCCAATGTCACATGGGGGGTAAATATGCAAAACAGTCCCTATTATTTATGGATACTTCCATGTGCAGTGAAAGTGTAAAGTTATGCATTAAAAAGATAAACATCAAATTTAGGAAAGTGGTTTCCTGGAGCAGGTAGAAGGAGATGTAGTAGGAGGAGAATGAGATTAGAAGGCTACACAGGAAGCTTCAATTACATTAAAGCTTGCTGGTGGTTACACGAATGTTTTAAGTATTATTTTCATTAGTCTAATATTTCACTTAAAAAGTGATCTGAAGCAAATGTGGTAAAATGTTAACACCTATTTAAATTTGGTGAAGACATGCGTGTATTTATATTATTTTGTATTCTTAGGTATATGTTTGAAATGTTCCACTAAAAACAATCATTTCTTTTAAAGATAAAACTTAAAACTATCCATGCTTCTACCTAACTACTTTCACATTGAGTTCCATGCACTTGTACTTATTCAAGGTCTTTGCTTTTATGTTTTCCACTTTCCTCTACATCATCAAAATTTCCCTCTTTACTATATTATTTTCATAAATTTATACATATTTCAAAACATTTCAGTCATTTGTACTCCTCTCTTTTGCATCCTACATCCATTAAGCGAAGTCTCACACCATTCCTCATCTTGCAAAGTAAAACCAAAATCTAACCACTTCTCACCATTTCTAGCACAGCCAGACTCAAATCACTTAAAAAAAAAAAAAATACTGTTTTACTGATTTTTTTAGAGACAGAGGAAGGGAGAGGGAGAGAAATATCAATGAGAGAAAGACATCGATTGGCTGCCTCCTGCACGCCTCCTACTGGGGATCGAGCCCGAAACCCAAACATGTGCCTTGACCGGGAATCAAATCGGCGACCTCTTGGTGCATGGGGCAATGTTCAATCAACTGAGCCACACTGGCCAGGGTAATCACCTATTTTTATTATATTACCTGCATCCGTCCTTGCCCTCTCCATACATTTTTTTAATAGTAGCCAGAAGGAACCTTTAAAAAAAGTTACTTTAATGTTTCTTTTTTGCTAACACTGACTTCTGGTCCTGCTTAGAGTAAAATTTACAATCTTACAAAGGAGTAGAAGAAAGGCTCTCCGTGATTCCCACTCTTTGCTCCATGGACTCCTCTCTTATTTCATGTCCTACCCACTCCCGCCACTCTCCTTCCATCCATTTACTCCTAAAACACACCTAGAAGCCACATTTCAGAGTATGTGCACTTGCAGTTCCTCTGTCTGGAATCCCCAGATATGTTCACATTTTGCTCCACTCCTATCAGGTCTCTGCTCAAATCCTCTTCTTCCCTGACTACCCTAAACAAAATGGCACCTCCTCTCACCCTCCTCATCCCCCTTATCTGACTTTGCATTTCTCTAGAGTAGTATGTCTGAAATTTTAAGGTGTGTAGTAATTATATGGGGGTCTTGTTAAAATAGAGATCCTGATTCAGAAGGTCTGGTGGGACCTGCTATTTTGCATTTCTAGTCAGCTCCCAGGTGATGCTGCTGCTGCTGGTTCCTGACCCACACCTTGGGTAGTGTGTGTTACTATCACAATCTAACATACTATGTATTTACTTGTCTTCCTGTCACTCTAGGATGTAAGTTCTCTGAGAGTAGACTTTGTCACTGCTATGCTTAGTGTCTAGCACATATTATGAGCTTAATACTGTTGCTGAATGAACAAATCCTGCAGTACTGTCAATCTTAAAAACCCCCACACACCTTCCTTGAACACATATTCTCCTCTAGCTACTGTTCCATTTCTCTGCTCCCTTTATAGCTAATCTCCTTTAAAAAAAAAATATATATATATATGTCTTTTATTGATTTCAGAGAAAGAAAGGGAGAGGGAGAGATAGAAACATCAATGATGAGAGAGTCACTGATTGGCTGCCTCCTGCACGCCCCGCACTGGTCGAGCCCGCAGGTCAAACCGCAATCTCCTGGATCCTAGGTCGATGCTCAATGGCTGAGCCATGGCGGCGGGGCTATAGCTAAGCTTCTTAAAGGAACTATCTTCACTTCCTCCCTTCTTACTATTTCCTTTTCCTCAATTTTCTATTTTGACCAATTCAAACCTATGAAAAGCTGACAGAACAATGAACAGCTAACTACATACCTTTTTACCCAGATTCATAAATTGTTAACATTATGAGAGATTTGCTATATCTCTCTCCATTTACTTACACGTACACATGCACACATTTTTTATGTTGAAGATGTCATAACATTTCATCCATAAATACTTCCATCTATCCCCTTAAAACAAGGAAGTTCTTTACTATAACACTGTAATTAGCACATCCCGAAAACTTAAGACCGATACATACTATTACCTATTATATTTAATATTTCTAGTTATCCCCAAAATGTACTTTGTGACTGTTTTCCCCCCATTCAGGATCTAATCAAAGACCTTGGGCATTTGTCTTTTCTAGTCTCCTTTATTTAAAAAAATTTTTTCCTTTTAGTCCTCACCCCAGGATATTTTTTCCATTGCTTTTC